GACGTTAAACGTATCACATTTATATTATTTGGATCAATTGTATACGTCGAAATCGTATGTATGTCATTGTCAGGAATTCCAGATATACCATGCTTCCACGAATACAGTACTAGTTATTTAAAACAGGCCACCTTTTTAAAGAATGCTAGTGTACAATATTTTGTAAATAGAACGAGAAACAGGATATCCTTTAAGGTATTTCATCGTTCAGATAAACATTTGTGCATATATTCATATGGGAAGTGAAATATTTGCTATCTCTCCCTATTTCTACATATAAATGCCATCATACAATGGATCTGCATAATATATAATAAAAAAATTTCCACATATATTTAATTTATCTTAAATGGAAAGAAAAGTTACGAATAGTATCTCACATGAGTATTAAATGATCTTGGACCTTTTGTGGTTGAAAACTAGTTTGGGTCAATTTAGGCAATAGCACATATGAACATATAAAAATGCATTCATAAGCTATAAGATTTAGAAGTTGTTTACATTTCGGTCATTTTTATGCTGAGATGTCATGATATAAGAAGTATGAATGCAATATGACTCTTGTATTCATTTGTTTTGATAGTATGGTCTTGTGCAATTTATTTCTTCACTTTTTAGCAGAAAACTTGGATGTAATTTTAGTCCATATAGGCATATACATGCATTAGGCCCACTTACTATCATAGAAAAACGGTAGTATATGAAATGCCACAGGTACACTTATCATAATAAAGTGTTATTGACTTTTAAACACTCTTACATGTTGTTGTTCAAATTTATACTCAAATCATATTCCGAAGACAATTCATGCAAAGCATCTATCTTTGTTGCAGCAAAATAGTTTTCCAATAAATAGGTTGAATGCATACCAATGGCTCTGGTTTCAGTATTTTTGCAAGTTTGTTTTGGGGTTAAAACTAGTATACAATTATTTTTTTCTTCAAACTTTATAAAAGTGGGATAATATTTCACTTTTAGCAGTCAGTTTGGTCCACTTTCGTCATAATATACAATTTTGTAATGTGTTATTGGCTTGCAAGTCAATTATTCAACTCATTTTGAATACTTCTTCATCCTACCTTTAATTCAGCTCATAGCTTGAGGTGGATTAAGTATTTTGAGTTGTAAAAAAGAAAAGAATGTCAACATTGGAAAGTGAAACTAGGGAGTCCCGATGAAGATACATTTTGTTGACTGATTCTGCACACAAAAACATATTTTGGTTCTGTTCACTTAATTACCAAAATGTGCTGTTCCACTCATATTTTGAACGAGACATTTTGAGCTTAAAAGGCCAGTGACCCCCAATTTTTGGATTTTATTTTCTAAAGCACATGTTAGAGATATCATTTACATACAATAAAAAATCTATTGTTTTTAAGTTGGACCCCCCTCTATCTACCTCAACTTCACGTTCAATAACATAAGTGATATCACTGGTAGAACTAAATCTGCTTACTCCTCCGGAGATCATCAGATCACATGTGATTTTTTGGTGGGGTTTGTGGTGAACAGTCATTAGTTGCGTATGCATTATTTTGTTGTCTCGTTTTCCTTTTCGTTATCTTTCGATTGTTGCCATGGCATTGCCAGTTTGTCTCAACTTTCGAATGTCCGATTCGTTTTTTAATTCTTTTAAATACTCAAACCAGCAATTATGCCAAGTTATATTAGATGAATCAATTACAGAAACAATCCGATGCATTCGCATTAGACAATTCTTAAACTTTATATTCATAGATAATACATTAACAAATGTACATTTTTAAGAACGCAATAATCGTGTTATAATATATGAATACTCAAAATCAGAAACTCCTATCAAATTGATAATATTATGAACCTCAGAATACGCTTAATAGACATCAGAAGACAACTATCAATATTATTTTACATGAACTACATAATAGTAAAAGACTTCAGAATGAATCATCTGAAAAGAAAATAATTTCTTTTGTCAGAAGATATCGGCGAAAGACATATCATTTGAATACAAAATTGGATACCACGATTATTATGCATACATTCTATCAATAATTTGAAAGGTTTTCCAATTTTTCTAAGTGTTGGAATAAAAACAAAATCTGCATACGAACATTACATTTTTAAAAGAATTTTAGTTCTTTTTTAAAATTAAATAGAAACGGTTTAGAAATTAAAAGAAACCTGATTTGTGGGTAGTCATTGTTAAAGCAATATTAAAATACAAATTAAACAATTGACACCGATATTCGACTTATATTTTTGTCGTCTATGAAAGAGTGTAAGCATTTGTATGGTTATCAATTGGTGTCTTATTACTGAAGTAAACAACACGATATTTCTCCGTTTCTTTTATGATTACAAATACAACAAATACTGTTTGTTTGGGTAATAGATATCTGGTCGAATTTAACTAATACAGTCTTTTTTCTAAACCAATATATTGCGCATGGGAGAGCAAATGTCAGAAGTCAATACAGAATTAGATTATTTAATGAAATTTAATAATTAAACTATGTAGGTAACATATTGTTATACGGAAGTATCGTTATTTTAAAGACACCCTATTCTTAAAGATTTTAATACATATCCTGTTCTTTGTTTGTAAAAGCTAAAGCAACCGAGCAACAAGTAACAGCAGATCTTTATTATGGATATTATATATTTTCTTATCTTTAGTGAATTAAGTATTGTGATCTAAACGACATCCTGTTATTAAAAATATTTCAATTCATCTTGTACAATGGAATTCGTATGATGAAGCTATAGCAACATAGTAACAGAAAACCTAGCTTTGTTATGCAGGTTTGGTTATTCCAATGACCGGTTTTGAAGACGGTTAGTTAAAAAAAACTAGCTTAACTTCCCAAATGTGCCTATACCTAATAAACAGGTGAATATTAAGTGAGCCCTAATATTGATCATGGACAGGACTTGATACTCGAAAATATTAGGCAATGACGTTATGTATAAGTGAAGCGACGTCGCGTGCTCAAGTCCATCCGCGTCAATTTATCAGTGAAATGCACGCGACATCATTCATACAACCGAACAACTGTCCCAACGTTTTATACGCGTAAAAGTAGTTTTATTTCATTTATTTCATTTTCTCAACAAAAGAAATCTACAGTTATGACAAATTGCCGATAAACAGAATAATTGCGGGCTCGCTTGATATTCTTGCTGATAAAGTTAGTATCAAAAATAAAAATGCCATTATTCTATATGTATCAAGTCATGTCCATGATCTTAAATATATAAGGCAGTAAGATGAAAGGGAAAATGTACAAATTGACAATAAATTCATTTACAAAACAGAACTGATTTAAAGTTGTTCTTACTGTAAAGACACCTGTCTTTTTTAGCGTCTGCTGATCTCTTTTTGCCTTTGCTATTTCATTAACCTATTATATTATACCTCACATCTTCTTTTAGTCTATGTTTTTGAATTTTTTTTTGTCCTTGCCAATGTTTTCTGACTTTAGAAATCCAACGAAGAAGCTTAAGGTAAAGATAATAATGTGGCTCCTCTTATGGTTGCTGACACCTGTCGCACAACATTCCAAACCATCCAGAAATTGTAAAGTAAAAGTCTCTGTATATTCCAATTGCTCTAAAATCCCAATGCGATTATATAACTTGACTATGTTTCAACAATCATGACCACATCTTTGAGTCAAACGACAACAAATAGGAATTGCCTATTAATCAAAATTGAAAATCTGAAAGGAATTTCATAGCACTCACCAAAGTATGTTAACATGTAGTCGAGGGTTGCATAGAATACATAAAATTCCATGATTTCTAGTTAAGAAAGAATATCAAAGAAAATACAGTAGAGTAAAAAGTATCTTTTAAAAATAGATAAAACAATAAGGATTTCCTTTTGTAAGTTATGTGTCCGGAGTAGGCGGAGACACCTGCTTTTAAGACATAACTTCCTATCTGACAGGAATTTTGATTCTTTGTCATACTTCTGGTGTATGCTAGATGTTTATAAAATCCACATGAAGGTAAAACAAAAAAAAAACTATCACAATTTTTAAAAATAGTCGTGTACATGAACCAATCCCAGCAAAACTTACTATTACCATTTTCTATAGGAGATTTTATTTGTTGTCTGTATCGAGTTTCTATAATGATTTTCCATGTATCGCTGTGTATACATTATATCCAATTTTATATGCATTTAAATGTTTGTCTTCAATTACAGGTTTATTCTGTTATTGCTCTGTTTATGCATGATTTGGTGATTCATACATATAGCATGTTTCGCTTATATATATCTACTTTAAATTATATATATTATCTTTAACTGTTAAAACCTGATTTGACCTTTTCTCGGTAGATTGTTCTGTGGTTAATTATAAACTTTTACACATCTATTTATTTGAAAAGATTTTCCCAACGTAAATGATCTGTGGTAATCAACTGGTCGTCTATGACTTTCTTTAATTTGATGATATTACACCTGGTGTTTCGGGTATCATTTAGGTCAAGTTCGACCAAGGCCGTTCATCCTCGTCAGGTGCCCTGGCCTACTTTATTTTTATTTACTATAACATTTGATTATAATTACTTTTTAATTGTTATCAATATGTTTCTATCGTGTAACGTATAAAATGCAGTTACATTTTGGGGGCACTTTTAAAAAATCGAATTTGTTATTATATTTTCTAAATCTTGTATGTTTATTTCGAATTCTGTTTTATAAACTTTATTCTCCCCTTTTTGATATTTCAGTTACTTAAACGATCAGCAAAATTGTAAGTTAGTTCCACCTGTAAATAAATAAAATATTTATGACCCCCTTTAAAACTATGCACGTTAAAATCTTGATCGATTATAAATGGTATCATTTACGATATTTTTGCTGCACCAGATGCGCATTTCGAAAACCACTTTCAAAATTTTCAGTGAAGTTCAGGACCAAAATATTTGAAATCCCAAACCTGTACTAGCGTTGAAAAACTGATCAAATATTACGTTTAACGATTTGTGAAGTTTTTTAAAGTTTTGGAGTGGAATGCATTTGGAAGAATTGCATGCATCATTTAAGTTTCTAACATTGTTGGCTGTGTGCCTTTGTTTGTATGCCTAGATTAGGGTTACATGAACAGGATTTAACACGAGAGCCAATCAAATTTCCCGAAATATATTCAGATATATATTTAAACATAAAACTGTATCAATCCTGGCAGTGTTTGTAAATATACAGCAACATTCATAATTATACTATATATTGAGAGTTTTTTTTTAAACCAAATGAAAGAATTATTCGATACTCTAAGGTAAGCTTTAAGTTAACAATGTACTCGTTAATATCATAAATGAACGTAATTTATTATTTCTTGCTCCTTGTTTTCATGTTTTATCTCCTGTAGGTCTTGTTCAAAAGTTTGAAGACTAAATAATTAAAAAAAAATCAACTGGATAAACGAATTATTAATCAATGCAATACTCAGCAATTTTGAAATAATACAATGACAATAACAATTCGTTTTATTTTCAAAACAAATAAGACGATCCTAGAATTTTGAATACAAAGGAATATATCGATGCATAGATGAATAAACAAACACAGAAACTCTTTTTAAGTTGACAATACAAAAAATAAAATAACAAATTAGGGACTTTCCGGGAGTTCGGTATTGTGATTATTTTACTTTTTTCAATATATAAAGCACATCATGTCTCAGAAAAAGAGACAAAAGGAGACAAAAAAATTGATTTATCGGTACGGTTGTTAATTAGTGTAGAAAAATACTGTGTATTTTCAGATGAATATTATAAATTGGGCAATAGAATAAATATACATGTCGATATAGAAAAGATCAGTTGATGATTCAAAAACGTTATATTCTCACCAAATTTGATTAAATCGGTTGAATCTTCTTTTGATTAGGAATTTTAGAGGATACATATCCTAAATCTATTCGACAGCGCACGGCAAAGCATCACTAAATTAGATAGAAAACGGATCACACCGATAACGAAGTTTATTCCGGAAAACCAAGTTACTTAAAAAAAGAAGAAAAAACAAAGATCTGTATATGTTTTTCTAATGGTTTATTAAAAACGTTTGTGGAATGAATTATATCATAATTACTATTTTTATGAATAAACTATATATTACCAAATAGTGCTTCCCTTCACTATAAGGTATATTATAACCTAATTGTATTTTTAACATTGTTTTGCATATTATATTTGTATCGTGTTTTACATATTGTATTTATATCGTGTCAAAGATCAAATTTATTCGTTCAGTGTATGTTTACTTGTTTTTGCTAATATTTCTTTTTGATCGAGTTAAGCAATTTCAATTGATTTTTTAAAGTGTGTCTTTTATGTTGTAATATTAAACTACTGTTTCAGGTTAGGGTGAAGATTGGCGCCTGTTTAAACGTTTAAAACCCACTGCATTTGTTTGCACCTGTCCTAAGTCAGAAACCTGCTGTTCAGTGGTTGTCGTTTGTCGATGTGGTTCATAAGTGTTTCTTGTTTTTCATATAGGGTGGACCGGTGGTTTTCCTGTTTGAATTGTTTGAATTTACACTAGTCATTTTGGGCCAATTATAGCTTGCTGTTTGGTGTGAGCTAAGGCTCCGTGTTGAAGGCCGTACTTTGACCTATAATGTTTTACTTTTCACAAATTGTGACTTGAATGGAGAGTTGTCTCATTGGCACTCATACAACATCTTCTTATATCTATACATTAAGATGAAGGATACTAAGTTAAAAGCTGTAAACTTAGTAAGTTGATACAGAAATTATGCAATAAAAAATTGTTACTTTTAAAAAAGCCAATACGAAGAACCCATAGTAGTTCTACATGCAAGTACACAGACAACTTATATTTGAAGAAATGAGAAAGATTTTCTAGAATGAACTATAAAATAAAAACCATCATATTTCAAGAAAATATAGCTACAAGAAAAAGGTTTCAGACCGGAATTTTTTCAGATGAAGCAATGTTTATGTTTATCAATAAAAAAACAGATCTGCCAAATTTCCTAAAACAATATTAAATTATACTTCGAAATAAATAGAGATTTGCAAATAATCATATGAGAAATCTTGAAAAATAAATGTGACAATAAATCAAGTATTAAATTGTATGTATGTACAGAACATAAATGTTTTGTATTATATGAATGTAGTTATGTATTAGACACAATAAAAACGTAACAAAAAAACAGGCCGGTAACAACCGTTGCCGGATAGTTTTTCTGCACGAGAAGTCAGGTGAAGGTCCGAGACCATAGCCGAGGACCTTGTCTTGACTACAAGTGCAGTAAAACTATACGGCATTTTGTTTTCGGCCTGTTTTTTTGTTACCTTTGTTTTGTATCTGATTTGTACGACGTTTCAAGAAAGAAGTAGTACATTTTGTATTTAGAAGAGGTAGCAAAATTAAACAGATTAGAAACTTAAACGGCCATATACCAGTTAATGTAAGTTACAGTTTTAACAAACTTTTTTCCCTTTCATTCAGCTGAGAGTTTTTTCTCAAGAAATTCAAGAATCTAATAATTTTATAAAAAAGAACCATGTCAAGTAAAAGATGAATGACGTCCACATCTGAGACATTTTAAATTGCAACTTCGCAAGTAAATAAAGAATGAAAAAGATTTTAGAGGTAAGCAAAATAACATTTGATTTTTATTTTGGGAAACACGGAAAAGGGGGGGGGGGGGGGGTAAAAAAGATTTGAAATAAACAGGCTTACACTAAATCCATTGGATGTTGGATGTGTACGGATTGATAATTTAGTCTTAGTTGCATGATTTTTTTTATTAGTTGTTAGTGGCTTTGAACTAGCTGTCAGTAACTGCGAGTACTCTCAGATCTGTACTTAGTGTCTCTTTGTTGTTTGGATGTACAAGTACCCGGCCACGTCCACTTGTATTTGAAGTATTTGTATTTTTATCCATCTGATGAGTTAAGCCTCTTTCAACTGATTTTTATAGTTCGTTCTTATGTTGTACTGTTACACCACTGTCCCAGGTTAGAGGGAGGGTTGGGATCCCGCTAACCTCTTTAACCCCGCCACATTCTGTATGTATGTGCCTGTCCCAAGTCAGGAGCCTGTAATTCAGTGGTTGTCGTTTGTTTATGTGTTACAAATTGTTTTTCGTTCATTTTTTGTACATAAATTAGGTCGTTAGTTTTCTCGTTTGAATTGTTTTACATTGTCATTTCGGGGCCTTTTATAGCTGACTGTGCGGTATGGGTTTTTCTCATTGTTAAAGGCCGTACGGTGACCTATTGTTGTTAATTTCCGTGTCATCTGGTCTCTTGTGGAGAGTTGTCTCATTGGCAATCATACCACATCTTCTTTTTTATAATTAGTCCTTTTTTTGTGGAGAAAATGCAGGATGTGCCTGTCCATTCCGCAATTCCTCCTTAAAAAATAATAAAAATCTTACGTTTGCTCCCAAATATATGTATTCAATATATATGAATTCAATATTTATGAATTCAATAACACTATATATGTACATTTGCTATTTCATTAGAGAATTAAATGTTATGAAAAAATGGATTTTGTGTTGTTATTATATATATAGGCATATTATTTGGATCTTTACAAATTTTTCATGCTTATAGGTTTTTATATGTCTCTAATAGTGTTGATCAGGATTAAACACGTGTCACAATATGATCCAATTGCATCTTACTGTCCAAAATTGGTGACATAGTTCTTCAAGATTGGCTGCCTATTTGAACATGTATTACACAGACATTTTTTTATTTAAAGGATCAATCGTGTATTTGTGAGTTGATAGGAGTTTTATCTTCTGATTAGATTTAATTTTTTTATATATATATTTCCTGTCTTTTTTAATATAAAAATGAAATATAAACGTCGGTACCAGCATTCCTTTACTGTCAGCATTGTCCAGATTACTATTCATGCCCATACATGTAGATTGAAGAAAACAATACATTTACGGACCGACCATTTAGCTTCAAAAGGGGGGTATATTTTTTTCTGAGTAAGAGAATCATTTAGTTTTTCAACGCTATCAGTATCACCCAATTTTTTTTTTCGAAATAAGCACTTTTATATACGGTGTTTGGAAAATCATGAATCAGAACAACATTACTTTGTCATCTGCTTGACCACGATATATTTTTCTCATAGAATTGGGGATCAGAATATTTTTAAGAAAAAAACCATAACCCCCCTTTTGAAATTAAATGGTCAATCCCTTAGAGTACTGATATGAATAGTAATATACTGGAATTGTTTGAAAAAAATATAGTTATTGATGACAACGCAAATATTTCAAAAAAAAGACCGGAAATATGTAGGTAAAACAAAATGTTCAAATCTAATTGAAATTTAAAGTGCCCATGAACTGAATGATCATGCACGAATGATTCTATTCATAGAAAGTGTCCGTGTAACAACTAAAAAGTGTCCGTGTATCATCTAAAAAGTGTCCGTGTAACACCCGTTAATGTACTGTTTTTCATTAGCTCTGCTGGAGGCAAAGTCGTACAAAAATATTATACATTACCGTGTTTTAAAGTTCAAATTGAGAAAAGATAACAGGTTACACAACACATCCGATATGTTTATGTAATAGATATCTTTTCACATTTGACACAGGAACGCTTTTCTAAACAAGGATATTAAAAATATTGCATGGGTGACAAATATTTATTGCTTAATATGATTAACTTGCTATAGGCAATTTTGTTTAAAAGACACCCTGTTCTTTGTCATATTACTATATCAGATTTCCTTGTTTGTGAGTAGCACGGAGGGAACTGTAAGAGATTTACATAAATACATTGAGTTAAAAAAGTATTGAAAAATTAAATAAACATTAAATGACCTTTTTTCCCTTGCATTTTTATAACGATTATTTACGAAATCGTCTATGTACAGCCATCGTATGTTGATGTACTTTTATAGATGTATTAGTTGCATCGAATTTTGGCGTATGTTGATGTACTTTTATAGATGTATTAGTTGCTAGAAGTAGTCACAGAATGCTTTCCGTTAAAGCGATCATTCGTTGGATTTTGCCGGTATTTAACGATAAATTATTTTCCAATACCGACTTGTTTTACGTTATTTTATTCCAATGAGCGAGTTTAAATAAAGCAGCTTGATATATGAAAAAAAAAGAAACAAAACAAAAAAGTATGCCTGGCCAATAACATGTATGACCCCTGTAATAATATCGTCAAATAAAAGAGGGGCAAAAGATACCAGAGGGACATTCAAACTCATAAATCGAAAATAAACTGACAACGCCATGGCTAAAAAAGAAAAAGACAAACAGACAAACAATAGGACACAAAACAAAACATAGAAAATAAAGACTGAGCAACAAGAACACCAAATAACAATTTCGTCTTCATCAGTTCATAACCAATTGTAAACATTGTCTGTTTATCTGACATGTACTCTCGGGTAGTTTTAGTTGAGCGTCTGTTTCGTATTGTGTCACAAGTTTTAGCTTTAGTTTTAGCTTTAGCTTGTTTATTAAAGATTTGGAGTGCTTTGTTGTATCATACTGTTAGGTAAGACGTGAGGTATGTGTTTGATTTAGTAAGATAAATTGGTTATGTATCTCCTTTGTACATATACTCATTAGTGTAAAACACTTTCTACATAACTCAAATTTGTTTTCATAAATTCCCATAAATATTACCGGAACATTATAGGATTGATAGAAAAAATCTTAAATGCCGCCAATCTATAGGTACTGTTTGAGTTGACAATTAATAATAGATTCAGTTACTGGGATCAAATTACATTGTTGCTGAAATTGGTAAATCTAGACTCGCTTTGGATTTAAAAGCTTTAAGATTTGTCGTTTTAGAGTTATAGGACTTTTAACAGTAATTTTTGACACAATATTTATTTCAATATATGGATATCCATATGCATTTTATCTAACTTGTAATCATATGCCTCCATAATATTGCAAATCCTTCTGACAACAATTGTAACGCAAAATTCTGGTGTTTTATGTGTTCTTGATACGACTAGTTTCTTATATATCATTTTTTTTATAACATGGAATACATGCAGTCTGACAAATTGTTTGTAGGTCAATGACAGCAATATGTATCGTAAGTGGTGGTGTATATGGTTATATAGTCAGACGAGCACTCAATGAATTGTTCCTTGATGTCCGTTCTCGAATTTATCAATCTGAATTTGACTCGACATTTTGTAGCAATTAAACCACCAGTAAAGCTAAACTTACTCATTGATCGGGTATCAGATCGGATCTTGAATTCATCAATCCTAGGGTGGATTCTTGGTAGTTCCGGAAATTGCGGTCAACTCGTTTAGCCCAAAACGTTTGGTCAATTTATTAACAAGGTCTAATAAGACAAGGTTTGCTTCCCTTCCACAAACAAGACGTAGCAGTCACTGGGTTTCCTGTCCAAGGACCTGCTCGATTGGTCCTTTCACTTTTTTGTCTAGAAAACTAAGCATAGCAAGAAAGCCAATTAATAGACTCGTAATATTTAAGGGTCTTTTGTAGGACACATGCTTACCCCGTGGTGGACCCCTTAGACTTACTTATATTCCCTGGTATTCTTAACTTTTTACTAGTTCCTGTTGCTGGATCTTATGGTGTTGCCGATTCTCCTTTTCCTGATCCCCGGTACACACGACTATACCTAGGTGCTGCTGGGGTCTTGATCTCCCTATTTGAGCCCCAGTGGTCATTGTACCTGCAAGTTTAGGGCACACCTCTGCAATGTTTAACAACTCCGTGGCCGAATTAATGTTCCAGCTTGACAGTTGAATGTTGTTTGGTTTGGAATATTGTCGTATGTGGTTTTGTGCAAGTAATTTTAATGATTCCATATTTTTACACTGGTGCCTTGCAACTGTCTTATTTTAACTACTAGGTTTTGACAATGTATACTTTTACGCATAATTTTCGAGTGCCTTCATATATTGTGAGATCACGAAACACAACAGTGTCACCACTATTACAATCCGTTGTTCTCATCGGGAGTTCCCAAATAGTTGAAAGTGACAAGAACAAGTTACAATGAAAGTCATAGAAGATAAACGCTGCTTACCCTTTCTCTCCTCCTACATTAATAAAACAGTTGAGCAAAACGACACAAAAAAATCCAGCTGAAAAACTGTAAGTGAACCAACAGGGGCAACTTGGCTGAAAATATTGTTTGCTTAATTCCAAGAATTTATCAATCAATCCTAAAGGATTCACTGCTATCTCTACCAGAGCGCCGCGAACGATGAAGTGTGATACCTCCATAAAATGACTTCTGGACTGAAACACAGCCTAAGGTCGAAACCCAACACTATTGTCCGCACAAATATAGATAATTTCTACCTTCGATCAATTGAAAGTAGCAACACGCTGAAAATTGGTGACCGTTTAGGGTTTATCAATTTTAAATTTTCGACTGCTATTGTGGAACCTTCCATGTCTGATTTGGTCAGAAAATTAAATTTCCTATTCGCAGATGCCAATGTGACAATTTAGCGTCTGCTTACCTAATTACAGTAAATTGGTGTACCGATTCTATCGGTTGGTTATACGGATTGAGCGTCTGATTCCTATTGTGCCTTTAATCCAAGAGAAAATGTTTTCGAAAATGGTCTTACAAATACTTACAGGTACTTCAACATTATAGGTCTGTGTATTTTTTCTTTCTTTTGTTTTTCAGTTTGATCAACAGAATATCTTATAGTCATGGGGAGTGGCATCAGCAAAGGTAAAGTACATAATAGTTCTTTTATTAGATAATTCATCTCAATCTGCATCACTAGCATGTAATTCAAAGTGACCTATTTCACCAGTTGCCAATTGAACAATACATTGTGTCGGTGTCCTATACTTCATTTTAATATTTTTACTGAGTATGCGATCACATGGCGGGAGATCAGCCATTGTAGTAGATATGACTATGCGCTCCTTTTGGATTTCATGCGATTCTATCAGTTTTTGTTCGTTACCTTGAATTATCTCATCCTAATCGATAAACGAGATTTCAACATCTGTCGCCTCAATTTAAAAAAAACAACATCTCTACTGCACAGTATAATGCAAGTGCACTTTTTTGTTTTGATTTGTATAAACCTAAACCCCTCTATTGAAATTATATATTGATTTAAAAGTATGGTGAATTTTACAAATTCATGAAAATGTCATACATCATTAGAGTATACCCTAGGTGGTTATTCAAATAGCTTCTCGAAGAAACCAGTGGTGTCTTTTAATTCATTTGTTTGGTTAAGAAAATACATTTAAAATTCGTGGTTAACCTGTACCCACGCAATCCACGAACCTTAGTACACAATGCATAATACTGAATCCACGGTATGTATTCGGAAAATAAAATGTTCTTAATAAACGAGAATTGGAACCAACAAAATAAATAAATCCACAGTTTTTGAGAATAATGTATTCAAAAATGTGTAGTTTACTTTCTTTTTAAATCAAATATATCACGTTGGGAACATAAAACTTAAAAACATCCTTTACCTGCATAGTCTGTGTATTGTTGTCTGTTATTCAAGATCATCAGAATAAACTAACCATAGATTACTAATGAAACATTAAATAACATAAATTTGAGATTTCTAAAAATTCAAACCTATTCATATATTATGTAACGAAATGATAATCCGAATTGATGGATATCATATTTCTCAAAGACTTTAAAACATAGAGACATTCTAATTATAGACGTATAAATTATTTTATTTTTTTCTTTCCTTTTTAGAGAAACAAAATATGCAAAGTATGTTCCACATAAATTAAGAAAAATAAAATAAAAAAAAAAAAAAAAAAACAAGTACTATCTTTTAAAAAAAATATCCGACGCCTTCAAATGTGAGCATATTTTTAAAACACAATTTCTTGTTTTTAATCAGATCGAAATGCCTTTAACTTAATTTGACGTTATAAGTTGAATAATGTTGACAATGACAAAAAAATAAAATAAAATGTCTAAAAAATAACAAATAATAATTTGAACAAAAAACGGTTTTAGAACGAGAAAAAAATATCCGTGAAAACTATACAAGAATTTATTTCACAATAAAACAAATCCTTTCGGGGCGTATAACGGACGGACGCTGAAGGGAGATGATCTGTAACACAGGTTGACTTGTAATTAAATTTGCTATATTTGCCCAGTAGTCAGCACTTTGGTGTTGACATGAATATCAATTATATTGTCATTTTTATAAATTTCCTGTTACAAATTTTGAATTTTTCGAAAAACTAAGGATTTTCTTATCCCAGGAATAGATTTCCGTAGCCGTATTTGGCACAACGTTTTGGAATTTGGGGTCCTCTTTGCTCTTCAACTTTGTACTTGTTCGGCTTTATAACTATTTTGATCTGAGCGTCACTGATGAGTCTTATGTAGACGAAACGCGCGTCTGGTGTATTAAATTATAATCCTGATACCTTTGATAACTATTTACACCACTGGGTCGATGCCACTGCTGGTGGACGTTTCGTCCCCGAGGGTATCACCAGCCCAGTAGTCAGCACTTCTGTGTTGACATGAATATCAATTATATGGTAATTTTTATAAATTTCCTGTTACAAAACTTTGAATTTTTCGAAAAACTAAGGATTTTATTATCCCAGGAATAGATTACCTTAGCTGTATTTGGCACCACTTTTTGGATTTTGGGTCCTCAATGCTCTTTAACTTTTTACTTGTTTGGCTTTATAACTATTTTGATCTGAGCGTCACTGATAAGTCTTATGTAGACGAAACGCGCGTCTGGCGTATTAAATTATAATCCTGGTACCTTTGATAACTATATACTTTTTGACACTTTTATTTTACGTATAAATCTTTATCCCATAAATAATCATATATCAAAACTTGATAATGTTCATAAAAGTTTGACTGCACTTGCATGTCTACAATATTTCAATAATGTGGAAATTGAAATCACTTGAAAAGTGTCAAAAGGAGATATTTGGAAAAATGTGATGATGCAAATAAAGCAAAAGAGTCCACGCATTAATTTGTCTTTAAATCGTATGCTTACTTTGAAATAAATGTTTATATACTATAAAAAATCTGAAATATATATTATAGGCAATAAATATATGTTTGGGATCTATCTTTATATACATCGTTTTTTAATAATCATCACTCCTGTGTTGACATGAATTATCTTAGCGTTGATATGATCATAATTATAAATTAACTCTTTACAAAACTTTGAATTTTGAAATACAAAGGATTTTCTACACTAGGAATAGATTATCTTTGCTGTATTTGGCAAAACTTTTTTTTTCCGCAATGCTCTTCACGTACGAGTCTCTTGTAGACGAAACGCGCGTCTGGCGTACACAATTTTAATCCTGGTATCTATGATGGGTTTATATACATCTATGGTTTACTGTAGAAAGATAATAGACCAGGTAAAAGTTGTAACAACATCAGTTTTTTTTCTAAATTTGTATCACTGGAAAAGAGAATATTTCTGAAATAATAATAAGTTGCCTTTGATGACGAAAATTAAGAAGTTAATAAAAACAAATATCGATAAAATTCAATGAAAGTATTGAACTACATTTGATAACTAAAAGGGTCTCAGGTTAATCAAATATTTTTTTTTATTTCATGAACAGCGTCATATAACATTACGGTTAAAACTGGAGACCAAAAGGGATCGGGGACGGATGTTAATGTCTATATCATTCTGCATGGAAAAGGTTTCCAGACAAACGAGTGCAAACTTGATAACTTTTTTAAAAACGATTTTGAAAGAGGTGAGATTGATAAATTTTCTATTGATTCCGAAGTCAACATTTCTGAAGTCCAGAGAATTGAACTGCGGAGAGACAATTGTGGTTTGTACAGCAACTGGTATTTAGATTGGATTGAAGTCACCAATAAGAAAAACAGCATCACATTCATATTCCCTGCAATGAAATGGATCAAAGCAAATGGTCGTTACTTTTTCAATCACCACACATGTTTACCACAAGACGATCTATTCTTAGAAACGAGAAAATTAGAGCTGCAGGCCATTCAGGCTGAATATCAGCTACAGGTAAAGATACATGGATTACCTGCTCAGGTAAGGATTTAGTTTAACAGTTAATTTTGAATCACATTAATATTCAGGTAAATCGTATTCGACGTTTAGTCATTGATATTCAGATGGAATTGAAGTTACAATTATAACAACGAACATCACATACATCTCATAACAATGAAACGGATCTGAGTGAACGAACGTTATACAAAAATGACCGACTTAACAATGTCCAATACGTCGATGTCTCTACCTATGCGCTAAGATCAGAAACCCAAATTTATAACATTTATAAATACGGACATAACCATTCATGTTTTATTGGTCAGAGGTCTTGCTGTTATAACATCGACATACATGTGTTCAAACTCTAATGAAAACAAATAGCATAAGAACTTTTATGGTGTTTATTTTCCATTCTTTATTAATTTCCAAAGAAAAGAATTAATCTCCTCTCATAACAAATTAACCATCGATGCTTTTTTTTTTCCACTTTACTGATATCAAATAAATTAAACCTTCGAGATTAATCCATTTTTATAAAACTCTGATTTATATTATTTTGACAAGAGCTGATATGATATGAATGTATATATATGCATTATACAAATCATTACAAAGACTTTGCTACACTCAAAGCTGATGTTTTTTTATTCATTCACATTGCTACCGTCATCAACATGTCACCTCAAGATCATATTTAGGGGCTTCGAACTTCTACTTAAACTCACACTTCACTGCAAGTTCAGTAGGGCCCCTAACTCAGGTTTTAAATTACTTCTTTGAAAAACACCTCGTGTGATAATCTCCTTTAAATTTTGTCTGTTACTTTTAAGCATTTACTTTGCACGGGAAAGTGTTTTAAAGACTGCCCTCTTGTGGAGTATATGCTTTTTTGATGCTTGTATGGCGCGATATATGCCAATGTTGACCAAATAATGTGTACTTACAGAAGGCATTACATTATTGTCCTTGTCATACTTTACTGATTTTCCCAAAATTGCTATAGTTTATGTCTTTTCAGTATCATATTTGTATAAATATATGTTATATGTGTGTATTGGTAATTGTAGATTTTTTTTTAATACCATCTTTATAGCAAAATCAGTCCTTGTTAAATTTTACGTGACAAAAAAAAATATCGTATGTTATGTTATTTTTTTTCAGGTAAAAAAATTACCAGAAGATGAGAAATTTTCATTCCATTACGAAGTGAGTTTTTATTTATTATCAGTAAACACGCATTGCTATCAACACATATTGTATATCCTCTCTTTATTTATATTTTAGATTTGAAAAGGGTTTTCGCAGACGATTTACAATACCTTTACAATACATCCGTTGGAAGTGTATTAATTTGTATGTAAGACTGGAATAACAAGACCTTTTTAATATTTGATATAAGCATGTGAACTAGCTTTTACTAGTAAACTTATTTTGGTGTAAAACGGTAATTTTGATCTAGACACTCTTAAAAACTGAACAATAAATTATTAAGTCATTGTCCGTTATTCAATTAACATTTAGAAACATCCAGTGTGATTAAAAGTAAAATAGCAAAAATACCCAACTCCAAGGAAAATTCAAAACGGAAAGTCTTTATCAAATGGCAAAATCATAAGTTAAATACATCAAACGAATGGAAAACAACTGTCATATTCCTGACTTGGTGCAGGCATTTACTTATGTAGAAAATGATGGATTAAACCTGGTTTTATAGCTAGCTAAACTTTTCAATGGTATGACAGTGGCATAAAATTCCAATACAACTCACATGTATGTTAGACAATCCATCAAGTATCTCCAAGTCTACTTTATTCAAATTTCGGTACATGATTTTCAATGAAACAACAATGGCACAAACCAGTGTTACAAATACTCCCATAATTTTTATGACCGTGATATGTTCAGGCTTAAATATCTAGACCAAACAAAGCTTTAAGCTGAACTTTGTGGCCGACAAGAACCCTTCGAATGATACAAAATAATAACATCTTTATCTTTATATAAATGGAACTAGATGACATTCGAACATCTGATTTTAGATATTTAATTATTTGATATTTCTGACTTGGTAAAGGCATTTCTTTATGTAGAAAATGGTAGATTAAACCTGGTGTTATAGCTAGCTAGACCTCTAACTTGAGACAGCTACATGTATCTAACAAAGAACAATTTAAATGACAAGAAAGTGTTAAAGTAGATTAATTTGGAATCAAAACGAATGACATATATGTGATAAATAAAAGAATGTTTAGTTGCCAAACATAATGGTATATTGATTTATCCATTTAACACAGGTCAATTTTGCTTTAGAAGGCATAAAATTAAAAGGAGAAAGCTTCAAGCTGATGATGACGAACAAAAACGAATGGGAGGATGTTGAAGACGTTAAGACTGTGTATACTAAAGCTTTTGGAGTTCCACAGGTAAACACTTGTTAAACGTTACATCATCATTGATTTAAATGATACAACATTTGCAAACAAAATTTCAAAGTTAATGATAAGTTCTTTGATAGTAGTTAATGAACTAGATAAAACATAAAACTAGAAGCCGAGATGAAACGATAATTAACGGGTTAGTTAAGGTGATTAAAACATTGTATGTGTATGGATCCTCAAAAATTCGATGAGGCCTCAATCTGTTATGTGCTAACGCTATGATTCTTTAACATATGACTCTCTGTGAAACACACGGACCTGAATGTAGAAGAATTTATAATTTCGATCACTGTCTACTTGTGTTGAAGAATAAAACTACTTATCGGCAATTTGTACATTTCCCTTTGATCTTACTGCCTAATATTTTTAAGATCATGGACAGGACTTGATACTCGAAAATATTAGGCAATGACGTCATGTATCAGTGCAGCAACGTCGTATAATCAAGTCCATCCGCGTCAATTTATCAATGAAATACACGCGACTTCATTCATATAACCGAACAACTATCCCAACGTTTTGTATGCGTAAAAGTAGTTTTACTTATTATTTCATTTTACTCCATATTCTCAACAACGAAAAATTTAGTTATGACAAATTGCCGATAAACAGAATAATGGCATTTTCATTTTTGATACTGACTCCATCAGTTCGAATTTCAGCTCGCCCTAGCGGGCTTGCTTGATAATCTTGCTGATAAAGTCAGTATCAAGAACAAAAATGCCATTCTTCTATATTTGTTTTGTAAGACTGTACTACTTTACAATTAGGTTGCTTAATCAATAGGCAACTTACCTGTATGATATGATATATTCTAACTAAATTCAGTTTACATTGGTGCAATTGGACAACATTGAGAATATAAATACAACAAGAAATTTTGACCTTATACAGAATAGGATTTTTAATGGATTTGGAACTTGACTCTCGTGAGCAGTCATGTATTAACATCTTTAAAGGAACGTTAAGATATTATTCTAAGACATATGTCATGCTCCCTTAATTCATTATTAAATTCTGGATGATGTATCAATCTACGTTATTTATTTGAACTTTTTAAAATATTTTTTTTATTATATTTGTTGTTAGTCAGTTAATTACAGGGATCGATTCATATCGTTTTCGCAGCGTTCGCAAAAAATATGTATTGTATTTTTGATCAATAACAGAACGTTTACCTCAGAAACCATAACAATTGTCAATTTTGTTATGATAGTACACAAATACTTAAAAAAGGGTGTATTGGATATCTATTATACACAATAGTAACATAAAAGATAAAAAACTAAAAAAAAACAAAATTAAACACTTTTTTATCTCTCTTTTGTTAACAGAGTTCACAATACTTCAACGACGATGCTCAGTTTGGACGACAGAGACTCAGCAGTTTAAATTCGTTATTAATAGAACTGTGTACTACGATTCCACAAACGCAAGTGTTATCTGTCTATATTTAGAGTCTGGTGTTACATTTTTAAATACGGATTAATTGATCTTGACAATAATATATTTTTTTAATCTTAACTTAATTAATTGAGTAAAATAACAGTACAAAAATTGTTTAAAATATCACGATACATTTAGAAAGAAACAGCCTAATTCATTGGCTTTTCTTGGTGAAGGCTAAATTAAATTACGTAACCCGGTTTAAGAAATTTATTTATCGCAAAATATTGTGTCAAAACATCAGCTGAAATACGAAAACATTCATAGTTGGTCATATCATATATCTGATTTCACCTGGATGGCTTCACGCTCCTGATGAAGATATTTTGTGTGGCAAAATATTGCGCGAATCTATAAAATATAAAAACTATTTGTATAAAACCCATAAGCGTCACATTCGTAGGCATTTATTTATATATCATTCACATTAGTTCTAAATTTGAGTTGAATTTGATAATTGTGATCCATTTATATCAAATCTAAAAATAATCGAAGTTTGGTTAGAAAACACAGTTAAGGAATTTCATCTTTCTGTTTACTAACTAAGACTATTGCTTTATACAGTAGACTTCAAAAAGATAAAAGTGTTACGTACATGTTGTATAAATTTGGTATAATAGTTTTATTTCATATTTTCTATGTCGTAGTTTTGGAGTGACTGAAGATATGATAAAGCCATTCCTAGAAGGCAAGACAATGAAACAAGCAATGGACGATAAAAAGTTGTTCATTGTAGACTTGGCAATATTAGAAGACTGCCCAACTAAGAGTGAAGACCTTGTAGTTAGTAAATCCTAATCAAAGATAGCATGCTTTTAATTTGTAACGACGGCCTACACGAAACATATCCGAGGAGCTTGAATAACAATGTCTTCTTATGGATATCAATTGAAATACATTTGTATAATGTTAATTTAGCATGCATTTATATTTCATATAAAATCGGTTTTGGAATGGAGATATTATTTTTGTACAACAATATAAGCAAACTTGATATTATCTTTTCTGTGTAATTTGAGTTATAGTTAAATCCATAATTAAATACAGTTTCTTTACATTTTCATCACCCGAATTGCAGAACTGAAGTATTTCATTGCCATTCACACGTGTATTTTATATACCTTAGTTAACGTATGAAACGTAATATTTTGGTTTTATACTTGAAATGATCGATCAATAAGGGACTCGCATTCAATTTTTGCACATATGTTCCTATTGCAGTGGATTCATTATTTTTATTGGGATACCAATTTTTCGTGGATTTCATTAATACATTTTATAGATTAATTACGACTTCAAATGTTTATAGGTTTAAAATTGAGAATGGAAATGGGAAATGTGTCAAAGAGACAACAACCCGACCAAAGGGCAGAGAATAGCCGAAGGCCACCAATGGGTCCTCATCACAGCGAGAAAATCCCATAAATAACACAGCGAAAAAATCCCAATAATAATTGTATGCTTAATTTTTGCCGCAAAACCACGAAATCAAATATCCCAAAAATCTAGATTTATTTCTCAGTCCACGAAAATTAGAAACCATGAAAATAAATAAATCTACAATATTGTGTGTTTTACAATGAAATAAATAAACAGGTATCATTTTGTTTTGTCAGGATATTTTTTTGAACGAACACATTAAGGAAAATTAATAAGATTCTGTATTTACCAAAAACAAAAACCTATAAATTATAATTAGTGACTTGTAAATATCATGATACAATGTACCAACTCCAATTCAAACCATTGCTGAAACGGCAGCCTTTAAACATTGTTTTATCTATAATTAACGCTCCTTCAATCGCTCATTGAAACGTAGTATGTTTGTATTTACAAATAAAATTATTAGCATATTTGACTTTTGCAATTCATATTTGACTTTTGCAATTCATCCTTGCTGGTAGTTGGAATGAAACTCACTCTTTGAAGTATATTGTGTGTGACTGATATCAAATATCGATAAAACAAATAGGTCACTAATTGGTTGAAATTAAAAGTTCTGTTTCATAAATATTATATTTATTGATATGCTCATCTTGGTTTATGTAATGAATGTATTTTTTATATAAGGAGACATATTTGTTTATATTTCATTTACTGAATTTGGTGTGAATTCTAATTTTCCTTGGCAGCTAAATTCTTTATCATCAAACATTAATTGAAAAATAATAATCATTGGTTTAAATGAAACACAGTTCATGTGTCGCCATATTTTAAAAAAAAGAAGCTCGTATATTGTAAATCAAGATAAAATAGCTTTCCGATGTTTAATTCTCATAAATTTATTACGACGATACAAATCAAGCCACCCCTCTTCTCCCCCCAAAAAATATCCCAAAATCAAACCAAACAAACAAACTGAGGGATTCTTCATATCCATACTAACAACAAGCAAAACAGCCAACAACATGACACACATTTATGATCAAAGAGAACGCGCAGTATGCAAAAACTGTGTCAAAAGATTATAAAATGGATAGACAAAATCATGGCCACAATAGGTAAAATGATAAACAATATAAAACACTATGCTCAAAAATTATATTTGGAGTAACACGAACCCTAATAAGAATTACACTATTTCAAATTTATTTACTTTTAATATTTGCAGATGACTTGTCCCTTGGCTCTGTTTTATTTCAATGATGCCAAACATCTTATGCCAATAGCTATTCAGCTATTTCAAAAGAAAGGACCGAGTAACCCGGTAAGTGATGGAGACCCCTTCTTTGTGATAGAATTGTTTCATATTATTCTCTGGTATGGTAATGCATATAACAAAGAAATCAAAAGCATGGCAATTTTTATTTTCTGAAAGAAATATTTGTGGTATCTTCTGACTTGGTAAGGCATTTGTTAGACAAATGTCCCTTTCAAAACAACATGTGCAGAGTGAGAGATTAACAGGTTAAAAGGTAAACATTATTGCATTGAATTCTACATCAGAGGTAATAAAAACATTCTAAGTATATATCACGTAATTGTAAAAATGCATATTACAAACTGAAATTAAAAAGTAATAAATTTCGTCAGAAGTGTTTTACTTCATTTAAATTTTATTGGAACACCCAAACACCCAAATTGTAAAGATGATGATGTAAAAATTCCGGAAAATAGGAAAACCGGAATGACTAAAAGGGACCCAAAAGAATACGAAAATGCATATTCATACGAACCTTAATTTTTTAAATGATTTGTTCAGCTGTTTTGATTCAGATATACTAGTCTTCCGATGTATTAGTGATTCGATTGGTTTATACAATTTAGATAAATAAAATGAAAAAAATTGGATACAGAAAAAATTATATTTCACACTGCTGAAATAAAACAGATCTAGGACTTTTTTCACAATACACGTTAAAAATTATTTCCTTTTTCGAAATATTAAAAAAATTCTATGGAATGACGTTATCAAGCGTTATACTAATTGGTGTTAATTGTATTATAGCAGGTCGGTTTCAAAAAAATTCAGCTGCTTGTCACTGAACCAACTATTCAAAGTTTTGCTGAAAAAAGATAGTTATCCTGAATCTTTAAGATACTAATAATAAAACATATGATAATTTATCTTCAGATTTGAGTAAAAATAACAGCAATGGTGTAAAAAGAAATATCTGAAATATAAATAAGTTTTAGGACATAACGAAGGCTCTCCCTTTCTAGATCTGAAATGTAGTCTACTGTTGTTTCAATATTATTCGAGGTATTCCAATGTTTGCGGATTTTGTGTGTATAGGTTAAAAACGAATTCAATAATCATTGAAATTTAAATCTACTATAGGTTTGTATGCTTGAATTTGGAAAAATCACGAAATCAAATATCCAAGAAACAACAATTTTATTTCTCAATCCACGGAAATTGGTATCCAAGTGATAAATGAATCCACAGTATCCAAGGACGCTATGTAGCACAATTATAGGTCAATTCATCATAATTTACAAACAGTTTGGTTTCAAATAAATTAAGTTGACTATCAAAGAAGAAATAATTTAACGTTGCACTGAACATATATCTAATTTTTCACATTTATTTCTTTTTCGTTTGTTTATCATATATTATTCATAAGAATTTAATGTTGATATACCTCCTAAAGGTTTTAATATTGATATACCTCCTAAAAGTTTTAATATTGATATTTTGAAGGTGTTTTCTTTGTCAAAAGTTTTGTATAAATTTCTCATCTTGCTATAATAGGTATTCCTACCATCAGATCCAGAGTATACCTGGATGTCGGCAAAGATGTGGTACAGCTTAGCTGATTCTACATATCACCAATCTCTTACTCATCTAAGTATAAATAATAAACATTAGAAACGTCTATTATAACAATATCTTCCACTAGATAAGTCATTTCATTTAACGGATTTATTTACTAAGGTACAAATGTATATACAAAAAAATAGATTTTCGAACTTTATTTGGAATATTCTATTATTGCTTTATCGTGCTTTTTAAACTTTCCTTTTTTAAAATAAAATGTGTAAATTGTTCTATTGGAATGAGATGTTGTAAAAATTTCATTGTTACTGTTTTAGTGTCTGGCCTGTTCTGTGTATTACCAAGTACTTAAAAAGGTTGGATTAATTCCTTTTAGTGGTAAATATATTTGTAATTAAAAAAGGGAAATGAAATTTTGTTTCAAAATTTCACATATTATGAATCCTGCGTACGTTTAGTAATTCATTTAATTGTAAATCCTTTAACGTTTTCAAATAAATCAAAGTTGTATTCCACAAATAATGGTTTTGATTTAATTTATGTAGATTACACGCACTTGATGATGGAAGGAATAAGTGTTGCAACAAAGAGAAATCTTGCGCTACCACATCCAATTTTGAAATTGCTAGATCCACATTTTTTGTATCTTATGGCTATAAATAGGTATTCTTTTTAATGTCTATATTTCACGTAGAATAATGTCAAGGAATGCGTTAAACTTTTATAATATATTAAAAGAGATACAAAAGATACCAAAGGGACATTCAAACATGTTAGTCGAAAACACTGACAATAGAATTGCAAAAAACGGAAAACGATCAATAGACAAACAACAGTATACATAACCAACATAGGAAACCAAAGACTAAACAACACGAACCGCGACAAAACCGAATGTGCTCTTAATTGCTACGGAAGGGTAAGCAGATCATGCTTCCCGTGTGGCACCCGTCCTGTTGCAATCATGTACAGAAGTGTTACAAAGTTGTCAAAAAAAGAATATTTCATTTTATGTATGTAACGTACGTATATAACTAGATATTTATTACATATCAATAACAAACAAATGACTACGTAAATTATATCAACAATGATTAAAAGTTAGACATTGTCAAAGACAACATGGAACATTGGTAGGTACAAAAAATCCCTACACAGACAGATGTTTTGTAGGTATTGTACAATCAAAAGAAGGTACATTATTTTCAACAATCGCATTAAATTTACGCACAAACTCTTTAATTCTTATTAATGTATTTTTTGAAACTTAAAACTCAAAGAAAACGTGCAATTACAAGTTACATTATAGAAAAACCAATGACGAAGAAGTAAACGAAATACACTGTTATCTAGAGAACGATACACTTTTCCAATAGTAACATAAGTTAATTCATATTATTTCATAAACGTTAAATTGAAAAGTATTCACCAGTCAAGGGATATCTATATCGTGCTTGAAGTTATTTCAATTGATTATTAGATGCATGAAACTTGTGATTATATTCAGATTTTTGGAATAAGGTATTCGATTCTTTTGTGTGTCATTTTCAATCCTACATAGTTT